TGACTCTAAAAAAAATCGTGAAATTTATAGGGGTTATGAGGAGATAAAAAGAGAAGAGACCAAGCGATGGGAGGCCGAAAGAAACTCGAGAAGAAAGCACGAGCCAGGAAAGGGGGCCGGCGGTGAGCAGTTCTCGGGCCCCCGACCGAGAACTATAACGATCCATCCGACCGTTTCGCAGTTACACCCGTATTAACTTGCATTGATTCTCAATTCGACATAAAACCGACAACGAAGTAACGGGCCTGGAGATTTAAGATTCGGCTAGGACAAATCTGGAGGGGATGAGGATTGGACGACTATAAATAAGAGATGAGCCAAACCCCAAAAGGTACGCCTGAACATTCTCTGCACTCGACTTCTGATACTAACTTAAGCATCGGAGTCCGTGTGGCAAAAGCTACATCGGTCCTAGTTTCAATCTGTTTTGCACGTTGATCCGTCGATCTCTTTTTGTATTTAGAGGATTGATATATATTTGACGAGATCTCGGGAAAGCGTCAACAATAGGTGAAGACAAAGGATTCTGAAATGACGATTTTGTACGTTTTTTTTTACTATTTTCAAAATCAGCAAAAGATACATATTTTAACGTGCGTGCTGATATTTTTCAAAGTTTTTGTAAATTTGAGTTCATGAGAGTGTACTAAAAAGATTGTGACATGACCTGTGTCGTTTATGTTCAAAAAAGAAAAGTGAAACAGTTAAATAAAGAAAATAGAAACGGAATCAACTATAAAACCCACCATTATTATCCCTATTTTTGTTGTCCTTTGTCTTCAATAATTGGCATTAAAATACCATAAAAGAGGAGAGAAAGTTGAGCCGTGGGCTGGGCCCGGGCCACTGGGCAGCCCGCTAATTGGGGTTGAGTTCGCGCCACGCCGCCGCGAGGAAGGTGCGTCGCCCTAAACTAAAATGGACCAACTGTTCAAAATCCCTTAAGTGGTTGTTGCTCCACTTAATATAAAAGGGATAAAAACTATGGAGTAATTTATAAAACTATAAATGAAAAATTTTTAGTTAAAAATGTGTTGGTGCGGGAGAAACATAAGTATCTTACAGTGTTAAAGTGTAAAATCAATACAAACACGTGGCTTTCTACCGTGAGGCATGTGTGTCCCACCTCAATTTAGACACACGGATAATGAAGATGAAGGGCCCACGTGTTCAAAAGCAAGACGTAACTCATTTATGACTGGGAAAGATTCTACCTGACAAGAAATTTGTTAACCTTTGTGAAACGTCAATTTTGCTGGCAAATAATCTTTTGATTGTCAACGAAATATCTGCTAAATGATAGGTACATGTGTTGTGGTGRATTGCRGCACTTCCCAATGATCCTCTCTAAYAAGATAGAGTCGCACCTTCTCAAAGATACATAATCTCTTRCATTCAACATAGCTTGGATTAAYGCTAGCTCGAACTAAACACTAACTTAAGTTTTGGAGTGTATGGTTGAGCATCAGACGATGCAAGGTTAGATTGACATCCATGCTCACATTAGGCTTACGTTCACCTGTTGACATGTCGCACAAGTCTGGATCGTACATCAAGAATTAGTATTGTGAACATGAGCATAGTTCAACATTAAGTACATTTGCTCATTCTCTTGAGGATGAAGCCGAAGGTTTATATCCCCATGACATCATATTTGTTGTACCAATAATTATAGGATGCATGGTCCATTGATTTTTAGGATGGTAATAGTTATTTTATCTACTAAGCTATACTCTATTATATAAATAAAACATTTTGTTAGATTCTCCTTCAAATCGAAAGGAAATTATGACTTGACAGTTATGTGTTATTATAAACGAATAATAGCTTAATTAAAAGTTTATTTAAATAACTTTATGTTGATGCAATTGTTGGGAAGCTAGTCAGACTGGGAGTCGGTGAACCGGATCGACCGCAAAGTGATCAATGAGAGGTTGGGTCTAGCTAGGAGAAGCCGAAACTCGATAGGTTGTGAACAGGGGAAGGGTGAGATCTTATCGTTTGGAATACCGAAAGAGTTGATAGTCTTCACAAGATATTGGCTTTGGAAGTCGATGTGAAAGCGACCTACAAAAAGAGAAGGTGAGTGGATGCCGACATGATGTTTAAGTTAGTATATCAACTTAAGATGAGAGAAGTAAAGAGTGACTTGAGAGATAATGACGCACCTTGGAAGGTTATGCACCCTTTCTATTTATTGGAGTGCGATAGTGTGAACGCATGGTGAATGGACGCGCTTGGCCGAATAATAGGTTGCGCTATTCGTGCAAGGGTCGCGCTATGGTTGTGCTGGCTGTGCAAGCCGCGCTACGACTGCAGTATGCCTATGGTCGTGCTATGCTATATGCATGGGCCTGCAATGCGCTTGGCCGCATTATTTCCATCCTATCTTCGTCGTATGCCACGTTGAAATAGCTCTATCAAATGTAGCACATTTTTAATGCAACTTTAGTGCATGTTATAGTGCACCATCTAACACATCCTTTAAAGAAATATCCTTTAAAAAAATACCTCTAACCGATGATTTTGTAAGAATAGACTTTATAGTTTGATAAATTTACCCCAACAACTTACAAATGGAATAATATAATGAATTACGATATTTTATATAATTTAGTTATTGAACTAATGTCAACGATATATTCTCTAAAATAGACCTAACACATATTTAAGTTTTTCAGGAAAGAGAGGAAAATAAAAAATAGTGACGTCTTGTCAAGGAAAATAAGTTGTAGATACTTTAGATCCCATCTTATCAATTTTTGTCGTACGATTGACTATTTCAAGAATCATAGACCTTGAATTAATCAACCTTAGAAAGATTAATTATCCAATAACACCATGGTTCAAGTTATGATAATTTAATCAAAACTTGATGAACATTGTAGGATGCAATGAGGGTTTTTTTTATTAAAAAAAACCAAAATAAACTTATAATCCCATTTTAAAAAAATTAAATCTCCATTAATGTTTATTATTTTGATCCAAATGCAGCATAATGTTTCTAAATTCTATGTCACTATTAAAAGATCTAACATTCGAAAGGTAAGGGACATAAGATCAACTTGGACACAAATCAAATAATTAAGACGTTTATTTCTGATCAAAAGTTCGTCAATTTGAATCGTCACTCCTATATGTGCAAAATAAATGAATAAGGGATATAACAAATGTGCTACTTTTTTTATTATTAATTAGTTTTGAGATGAAACTTCACAAATCAGTTATTAATCTATTAATTTAAATTTTTAGATTTACTGGTGACCCAAATTGATTATAAAAATTTCAAAGTTCATAAAGACAACAAGATTGATTTCACCCATCTTTATTATTTTAAAGGTGATATTTGAAAATTGTTTTTGGACATATACAACCCACTGATATTAAATAAAGAACTTAATTTACTATTCAAATAGTTTTATTTAAGACAATAAATATGAAGATGCTGCAAAAATAAATAAATAAACAAATATGAAGCTGCAATGATTTATTTATTTTTTAATATAACATGTGAAGGTGGGAGATTAAATTCACGACTTCGATTAGAGATATATGTCAATTACTACTGAACTGCTCGTTTGCAATGATTTAAACATCTAATCTCAAAAGGGAATTAATATGCGACTTTTCGGTTGAGTTGTACTAGTGTTGTTTCTGGGTCCCCTTTTAAGTATGACACGTAAAGAACATGTAAATGTAGAGTTTCGAAATCAGAAATAGATATCTTAGTAGTTCAGCTGACTTCAGGTTTTACCAATATTTAACTTTTGACTCGTTCACGTTAGATTTTTTCTTTTTCATTTTTTTTGTCTGGAAATAAATATTTGTACCGAGCATAGCTCTAACACTATGTGGCCAAAAGATGAACAAATAAGCACACTTTGGGTTTACACAGTGGGCTGAGATTAACAAATGTATAGCAGAAACAAACTAAATTCAATTATTTTAATCCCAACATCAAAAAGTGGCGAAGCAGACAACTTTCGAGATAATCGGAAGCCATGCGGTACGATCGAGATGTAAAAGACGTTGAAGTTGAAGTTGAAGTGAAGTACGCTTGTCTTCATGTCGTTCGCCCAAATCCGAAGAAGCAATTGATTAGAACAATGCAGTTGGAAGCTGATTTTCCAGTTTAAAAAGGAACAAAAAGACACCGATTAAATTAGTACATCTTCATCACAGAATTACGACCTCCAATTCAGTTCTTCTGCTTCCATCTGGATTCGATGTGACACTGTACTTTAATTTTCATCCCACGCTCTTATCCACTCCATCCGCATCGCCTCGAAATAAGCAAAAAGGAATTATTAATCAGCCGGAGGAAAAGGAGGTATGTATGACTTGAATTATGCTGTTTATCTTTCTCCGGAGTCGAAATATTTTAGTGATTGGAAGGGGAAAAGTTTGGTTTCGCAAAGTAGGTCATCAGGGATTTGTCAATTGCTTTCGACTTTTTGATCTGATCTTGTTGTAAACTAATTTGCAAGTGGGTTTCAAGTAGAAGAGGCGAAAAGAAAAGGAAAGATTAGATAAGCAAATGGAAATAAATTAATCAAAACAAAGCATATTTATAAATTATTGTTGAACTATGGAAAAGCTTGACTCTGGTGTTCTATTGCGGACACTTGGTGGAGTCGTGTGCTTAAATAATCATTTGGATAACATTGGGGGTTATGACATTAGGAGCAATTTTCTCTTCTTTTTGGGGTTTTCTGACTTTTTTGCTTTAAGTAGGATAATTGGGTGGAGATGAAGGAGATTGGCATGACTTTTTAATCCAAGTTTTTTTATTGGGTTGGTGTACGGTGCTGCAATTCTGCTTGTAACATTGAGAGAACACATCTGAGTTTGGAATAAGATTCATTAGTTCTTGAATGACGCATGCAAATGAATGAAACAAAAATGGAAAACGCAGGCAGAGCCAATCAATATGAATCGTAACTAACATAAGCCAGATTTTTGGTATGGTTATGCTGCACAGACCAGGTGTTTGATGAAATGCTTCGGAGAAATAGATGCAGCATTGATTTAGGTAACTGATTTGTTCTGAACAACCTGAATGGGTCCCTCCAACCCAATATTCCAGTGCTTAATGAGTCATCAAATTTCTAATTAATTTGGTAATCTGAACTTAAAAATTGTAACTTGAGAATTTGCCTTTTCGTGTTAACCTTCATTACGTCACTAATCATAAGTTGTTATTGGCTGCTTGAGTTTTATGCATTATGCTTCTGTAGTCTGGTGGTGAGTTTCCCATAGGAAATGTTCTTGCCTGAGATTGACTTTTACGCCATTAGTCTTCGTTTTTACTTTTGAATTCTTTCACCCACGACATGATTTCTTGTCACTTATTGAGCACATAAATGTATATGTGCCTGCGCGTGTTTATATCCACATTAGATGCATATCAAGCACCACATAAAAGCACTAGAGCTGCTCACTAACGGGGTCATTGCAATAATTTGTTTAAACCTTATGCTCATGTAAGCCTAACAACTGTAGCTTTACTTTGCTAAATTGGCCCACTTTTCCAACTTTATCATCCTATAAAAGCCCATCATTCCTCCTGCTGTTATTGCCTGCCTCTCCATCAGTAATCTGTTAGACAAACCCCCTGAAGCCACTATCAAAAAAATTCCAGATATGATTCCTGGTGAAATCACTGGCCTCCAGTTTTTTCCACCTGAAAACTCTTTTCAAATTCCTTCAAACATTGGCATGATGCAAAACAGCTTTCAGACCCTCCATCATTTCAATGGCCTTCTAGGCAACCTACCTTTGTCTCACATCCCTTATCCCGGCCATGAATTCCTTGCACAATCCTCGAGTATTAGCTACAACTCAACATCTGATGAAGCAGAGGAACAACAGAAGAGTATTATTGATGAGAGAAGGCAGAGGAGAATGATTTCTAATAGAGAATCAGCTCGTAGATCACGGATGAGGAAACAGAAGCACCTCGATGAGCTCTGGTCTCAGGTGGTTCGGCTTCGGACAGAGAATCATAAACTAATAGACAAGTTGAACCATTTATCTGACTGCCATGAAAAGGTTCTTTTGGAGAATGCCAGGCTCAAGGAAGAAGCCTCTGATCTTCGTCAGATGCTCGGTGACCTGCAAATTGGCAGCCCTTACACTGCTTGCTTGAGTGAGCTTGAAGATATCCCCTGCAACACTGCACATCTCAGAGCTGAATCTTCATCATACCAGTCCATCACCAACTTCATAGACAACCTACTCCATTGAGGAGAAATCTTTCAACTTTCTGATAAGAACTTATTGTTCTTTCTGTCTAGTTTTCTTATTAGTCATCAGTCTTTGTTTTGAGCTTGTACGAGATCAGTAGTAGAATAAGATTGTTTCAAGTTTGAAGTAGAGGTTGAATCCGGAGTCTTCTGAGTACCTGTTAAAATTAGCATTCATGAAACGAATTGCTATCTGCCCGCCGCATATACATGGATGAAGCTGGAGGAGCAAAGTACCTGAAAATGATATATTCTCATTAGATCATGAATGCCTGAATCATAGCTTCATAATTTTCCTTTTTAAACCCCATCAGCTTACATCATTAAAGTTCCACCAAACAGAGAAATGGATAAGAAACAGGAAACAATTTAACAGAGGAAGTAAGATTTTTGTCCATTGAGCAAAGTCTATGGTGGAAAAACAACCAACTTTCTGCACATAATAAGAGGGGCACAGTAGGACAAGCCATGGTGGAGGGTGCTGCTGTTAGTGGCTCATCATTGAAATGAATACCATAAGAGACCAAGCTTTTGAAAATGGTATCCACTAGAACAATCACCCTATTACCTTGTTATTATTATTATTATTTTTTTGTCTGTTATAGTTCTTTTGGAAGCTGATTTTAACAATTAAGCTTAACAGTTCATATCTTATTGTTTACTGTTCAATCAGTCGGAAACCTCAGAGAAAATAATTTGATTCTCTCTCTCTCTCTCTCGTTAAGGGAAAATTAGAATCTGTTGTATAACAGTGTAACTTGGTCTTTAACTGAGCCATTTCAGGCTGCACTGTTATGAACCATTCAGAAGTGTCTGGATCAGAGGTGACGTTTCAGGTGGTGGCTGCACAGTGATACCCTCTTTTTTTGTTTTTGTTTTTGTTATTTGAATAACATTGACAATTGCTATTGCATGATCACATCACATTGTCCCCACCCTTTTATTTATTTCTCTACTTTTGCTGCCGTAGTACGATTAAACTCTCTTTACTTTACTGTCATCCAAACAGTCATTTGCTGTCAAAATTTGCTTCCCCCTTGTCTGAATTTGCATCCTTACTGAGAACAAGTTGTGGCCTTGCAGGCGCTGGTGTGTGGAGACTGAAACTGTAGCCAGTTTTCTGCAAGTAGACTGGAAATCTGATCTGATCATAAAGCATAATGGATCTAATTAAGTGGATATGGAACCGACATAATGATAATATCTTTTGACATACAGGCAGCCGAATTGATTTTCTATTGCCTTGAATACATGGTCTAAAAATTTGCTTTGTATATTCACTTCTGGAATTTGTTGAAGGCTTGCACTGTGTCCTCATCACCTTCCTCGCAGAGCTTCATGGGAAAATATTGTAGATTTTTCATTTTAGAACTTCATATGAAGTTACAATTCTTCTCACGCAAGTGAAGAAAGCATGATTTTATTTTATTTTATTTTTTGGGAAAAAGGTAGAAAATGCATCTTCAATAGACATATTTGACTAGAATTGGTGCGTCCTAGCTTGATGAATACATTTGTTTGAGAGGCAAGTTTTACTTTTTTTTTTTATAATATGCGTTGTACTTTATAATGTCTGTAAATAATTATATTTTGGTTCAACTACTAGGTTGGGCCTTGTGATTTTGGCTTTTATTCACTTTGGTCCATTTTGGTTCCGACGTTTATAAAAAATAATTATACTCTGTTTTGGTCTATGTACTTTTAAAAGATAACAAATTTGGTTTATATTTGTAAAGTTTTAAAATAAAACTTATACACAAAGAAAATATTTTAATACATATTTATAGTCATGTTTCAAGGGATGTAGTAAGTGAAATGTTAGGTTAAAATTGTGATATAAATAAATGAAATAAAAAATGAAAATGGATGACCAAAATAGTCAACAATGATCAAAACATATGTTTTGAAAGTATATAGACTAATATGAACGTTTTAAAAATATATTGATCAAAATAAACTATAAAAAAAAGTACAGTGACCAAAATAAAATTTTAACTTTATATTTTCTATAGAAAAATATTGAAATCAACAATATTTCACAAGAACATTAAAAAAAATCTCTTTTACTCCCTCGAAAGTTTTTCTGAGTAACTAATATGTTTAGATAAGTAAAAAGAATGAGGATTTTTTTTCCTTTGAAGAAAACAAAATTGAGGAATTTTGATTTTAAAGATATGTGCAGGATGATTATTTGGAGTAGCATTTTTCATTCTTCTAAAATACTAATCAAGTGCTTAATAAAGTATTTTTAAATATTCTCTCAAAAAAGCATTTAAAAATATTTTAAAAATTTGTTGGTGGGCAAAGTAAAAAAAGAAAAATTAATTAGTTAAAAATATTTTTTGATAATCTAAAATTATTTTAAATACATTATGAGTCAATTTGTTGAATTCTCCTGTCAAAAGCGGGTATAACTTGACGATAATTTCCATACATTTTGTGAGTTTGAATTTTCTCCCCATGCGTTGAATTAAAAAGACATTGAATTGTCCTAGTAGACCACAAATTAACTTACTGTTTACCGTTAATCACGGTGACGGTCACTACAGTCCAGAGTCATCAGACTTGTTCGCAACGCATTTTGCCGTTAAATCACGGATCTCGAATCGCGCCAAAATAACCTCTCCAGATATTTCCCGCTTGGGTATTCCACAGGCCCATCTTCTTATTCCTTATCCTCCAAGCCAATTGTTAATTCCATAGTCCGCCATTGCAGCTTATCTTCATTCTTCACTTTGATACTTCTTCTGCGGTGGCGGAACCATGACGTCTTCTCCAACTCCCATCTCTCCACTCTCTCTTCCCAACTCAAGACCAAAATCAAACAGACCGCCGTCTTCATTGCCTCCTGCGTGGAACCCCAGCCCCAAATCCGTCCCCAAAGAGCTCTACTTCAACCGCGACGGGTCTGCCTTGAAGAAGCTTCAGGTTACGTTCTTGGATGGGACATTTGTTTATTGTTTCTCTGCCCTAGCGATTCTTCTTTGCTCGACGATTGATTAGTTTGATTTGGTTGTGCAGGTTGGAGTTGATTTGGTGGCGGAGTTGGTGGGCGTTACGTTAGGGCCGAAGGGGAGGAATGTGGTGCTTCAAAACAAATATGGACCGCCCAAGATCGTTAATGACGGTGAAACCGTCCTCAAAGAGGTATTATGGTGTGATTTGATTAACATATTTTTATTTTCAATTCAGTTATTATGGTGTGTGTGATATGAAATGTTAGATCAGTTGGATATTAATTCAATTAATGAACTGAGTCGAGTTCTAATCCACTTCTATTCGAGAGGGAAAAATGGCTAAAACACTAGAAAGTTATATGGTCAGGAAACATAATAGAGATCAATTCTTGTAATACATCTTATATTTCACTCGACAAAGAATTGCAATAATCTATATTGTACCTTGACAACTTTATTTGAATTAAAATGGATTTTGATATTAAGTTTATCTATAATAGAACTTTTGGATGAAAGAAGGGCAATAAATTCGTTTAAAACGTCCCTTGTATAAGATCTTCCACTAGATATTGAATTAGCTGCAATTTCTCTACAATTCTCTGGTTGTTTTGTGAATTTGCATCCATTTCTCGTATGCCTTACTTTTGGTATTTGATTTACAGCATGTCAACTATCATCCCACCATGCAGCGTATTTTCTAGTTGCATAAATAGCTGTTATGAAAACTTTATCCAGCATGTCCAGGCTTATAAATAATAACACAAGTGCTCAAGCATTGTCAATTTTCCTTTTGGTATTCGATTATTATCTGGTTGGAAATTGTTGTTTAGATTGAGCTGGAAGACCCTTTAGAGAACGTTGGCGTGAAATTGGTGAGACAAGCTGGTGCAAAGACAAATGACCTTGCTGGTGATGGTTCCACTACATCTGTCGTTCTTGCCCAGGGATTGATTGCTGAGGGTATGAAGGTAGTTAATGGAAATTCCATGCATTAATAACAACCATTTAGAACTTACACTGTTACGTGGACCATGCAATACCATGTCACCTACCTTTTTTTTAACTCGTAAGAAACTTTTGGTTGACTAAACTCATTAGATTAAAGAGATAAATCAACTATGTAAAAAGCAAAATAAAGTTTTTATATATGACTATAAATAGTTGAAATTTAATTTATGTATATTTATAAAATGTAATTTTTAGGTATGGTACAGCATTTATGATATAAATATTTTAAATTTTAAGTTATATATATATTATGTGTAATATTTTGGAAAGTTGAGCTTTCTTTTCTTTTTTTTTTTAATTTTTAAGTACAACAAATTGGAGTAAGGGATTTAAACCTCCAACTTTAAGGGAAGTAGTAGGTGCCAATTACCGTTGAGATATGCTCAGCTTGGTACTTTATGGATTGAGTTAACCTCTTGGGTCTTTGATTGTTTGATAAGACTACGCTAACACTTCTCATCAAAATTAACAATCAATATTTTTTTATTAGGAAAGAATAACAAATCATGGTAACTTTTGATATCCCCTCAATTAATTGCTTGGTCAATTTTAAGTACTAATTATAAAATGCATTTTTTAGGTTATTTCATCTGGCATGAATCCTGTACAAATTGCACGTGGAATTGAGATGACTGCAAGAGCACTAGTTTCTGAACTGAAATTGATATCAAGAGAGGTAATCAAGGTTATGCTCCTTTCAGTGTGGAAGGTCAAGGTTCAAAACCCTGAGAATCAAAAGAAAAGAACATCAATTTAAGCCGCAAGTGGTAGTCTAATAACTGTTTGTCAGTGATCTTTTCAACTGCTACATATTTAAAAATTGCAGGTTGAAGATCACGAAATAGCACATGTTGCCGCAGTTAGTGCTGGGAATGATTATGCTGTGGGAAATATGATTTCAGATGCCCTTCGTCAAGTTGGAAGGAAAGGAGTTGTCCAAATTGAAAAAGGGAAGAGTGTTGATAACAGCCTGCAAATTGTGGAAGGGATGCAATTTGATCGTGGATATTTGTCTCCGTACTTTGTTACTGATAGACGGAAGATGATGGCAGAATTCCATGATTGCAAGGTAGCAACCGGACTTTAAGTAATATGTTTTTCTTTTATTTATGAGTAATCCTTAGAAATGGGGATTTTTGGTTGCAGTTACTGTTGATCGACAAAAAAATCTCAGATCCAAAGGAAATGTTTAAAATATTGGACAGTGCAGTGAAAGAGAAATTCCCAATTGTGATATTGGCAGAGGGCATTGAGCAGGAAGCTCTGGCTCCAGTAATTAGGAATAAACTAAGAGGTGTACTGAAGGCAGCTGCTATCAAGGCTCCTGCCTTTGGCGAGCGCAAGAGTCACTACTTAGATGACATAGCCACCTTAACTGGAGGTAGCAGATTATTAGAAAGAGAGTTTTGAGTCCCTGTTGTGCTTTGTCCATTTTTCTGAACACCCACCTCAAAAAAGGAAAAGGGGAAAAGGGCACTATTTTTTTCTTCAATGCTAACATGAATAAATGCAACTAATTTCTACATCCCTGGAGTGATGCACTATATACTAATATTCAATGAGGTTTAGGCATAAACATATATCAAAGACGAAGGGAATTCACTGAAGGATGGCTCATTATGATAATGACAATGAAATACCATGAATTTACAAGGATGATGTGTCTAATCAAATGTACTATTGTATTCATCATTTAACAATATACTCGAACCTTTATGAACTAAATAAAGCTTATCTTTGATCTTATATACTTGATAACCAATAACGAAAAGAAAAGGCATTTTTCCTGTAGTTTTATTCTAGTTCTCAGAAGATATGTTATAAAATGTAATCCGAACTGCTTCACTCTTTTATATGTTTGCAGCAACCGTGATTAGAGAAGATAGTGGATTGACTTTAGAAAAGACCGGCAAAGAGGTATTGGGCTCCGCTACCAAGGTTGTTATATCAAAGGATTCCACACTAATAGTTACAGATGGAAGAACTCGGGAAGCAGTTCAAAAAAGAGTTTTACAGATTCAAAAGCTTATGGAGGTGCTGGAATCATTCCTAATCTATGCTGAGATATCCTACATTTTTGAGGTTTTCTGCAGTGCAGGATCCATTTCTAAGTAATTTAAGAGAACACACATTTCCATGTTGAAGTATATAGATTTGACGTTAAGTTKAATTACAGCAAGAGACATACTATCATCTATTCTGCAGAATACGGAGGAAAATTTTCCAAAGAAGATATTGAACGAGAGAATTGCAAGATTATCTGGGCGAATTGCTATTCTTCAGGTGATGATATTCTAAGCAACGCAAAATGTTGACTATATCAACACAGGGAAATAGCAACTTACGCCAGGCTTATTCACTTTTCCACCTTCTAAATTGTAGGTAGGAGCACAAACTGAAGTCGAGTTGAAGGACAGACAGTTAAGGATTGAGGATGCGTTGAATGCATCAAAGGTGCATGCCCATGGTCGGTCTGCTTTCCTTGAGAATATGATTTCGAATTATCAGTTGTAACTTCACGTTTGTTGTAGGCCGCAATTGAAGAAGGTGTTGTTGTTGGTGGTGGATGTTGTCTTTTAAGGCTGTCTACCAAGGTGGATGATATAAAGAGTGTCTTGGAAAATGAAGAACAGATGGTATCCCTCTTATGGTTTACTCCAACATTTTCTGTTTTAATTTCTTATTATTAAATGTCAGGTAGATTTAGTTTTAATTAGTATATCGACTAGAATAACACCTCAATTCATATGATGCGTTCTCTGATTTGTTTATATTGATTGGACTGCTCAACTGCAGATTGGAGCTGAGATTTTCAGAAGGGCTTTGAGTTATCCTACAAAACTAATAGCAAGAAATGCCGGTGTCAATGGAAACATGGTTATAGATAAGGTACACTATGAACTAAAAAGTTTGTTTCTAATTTGCGGTGTCTGGTTTTCTTTCTCATTTTCACATATCGATTCTAATCAACCATGGTAAAGTTAACTTTATATTTTACAGGTTCTAATCAACAAAGATATTAAATATGGATATAATGCTGCAACAGACTGTTACGAGGATTTAATGAAAGCTGGAATCATGGATCCATCAAAGGTTTATAAACTTTCTTCAAAGCCCTTTGACAGTTTTGTTATACCATTCCGATTAAAATTTTAGGAATTTGGTCTAAACATTTAGCAGAAAAACTCTCATCTTTTGGTCAAATATGAAATTATAGTATCTAAACGAACTTGAAAAATATAGATTGGAGAAAGTTGATTGAAAAATAAAGTGAAGGAATGGTTTTTCATCAACTCAACAATTCATTGCACTAAATTTTAGTCCTCTACTGATATCTGGGACAGGTAGTCAGATGTTGCCTGGAGCATGCAGCGTCGGTTGCCAAAACTTTTCTGACATCCGATGCTGTTGTAGTGGAAATTAAGGAACCAAAACCCATCCCAAGAAGAAGACGGATGCTGTTGTAGTGGTAATGGGTAAACAACTATTTGGGCTTTTATTTTTCGGAACATTCGTATGATTCACAATCCTGTTTTTGATGTTTTAGGCCTCAGACAAATGGGTCTTTAGCCCGACGAACAAGATCAGAGTATGAGATTACTGTTTCCAGACACAGCCGCGCAATGTTTTAGTCATCAGACTAATGGGTTTTTAGCCACCATTAAGATGGAACGTTTCTTGCCCAAGTTGGAGCAATAAACTGGCTGATACGAGGCAATGTTGAGCAGCAAGGTCAGAGCCAAGGAGGCCAAGAATTTGTAGAGAGAATGTTCTCTTCACCGATGACAATTCCATTACTTCAGAAAATCCGCTAGTCAATTATACTTGTATGACCTGTAATGTATTTTGATTATAACTAGGATGAAGTACAAAATCTTATCCTCGTTCTGTTGTTGATAATTTCTTCCAACTAATGCTGTAATTTAAAACCCGAATGGATGACGAATTTATAAATGCAACTTATTGGAAGTGGAATGACCTCTGTGAATTTTGCTGCATTAACCGCAATTTGAACTGATGAGGCGAGATTTTTCCTGAGAAATTCTCCAGGAAAATGCTTCGCCAAGTGAACCAACTGGAAAGCTCGCCAATGGCAATTTTCAGACAATAATGCACATAATGGGCCGAATAACTTTATTGATGAGCAGTGTTTAGGCGAAAAGAGTACGGATTCAATAAATGGTCGTACGTGGATATCGTTAGGCCGTCCTATCACCCGTGAAGATTGGAATTCTCTTATCGTCGTCTCTCCCAAACAAATTCGCCATTTTTTTATCAATCAACCTCCCACAATGAAAGTTGACAATCTAAGCTTACATAAATTTGCTCTTCCGCACTCGGTGAGACATTTTATTAGAGGTTCTTTCCCGCGCGTACAGTTCTTCTCTACTGTCGCTTTATTTCCCGAAGCTTCCCGCCTACCAGGCTCCTTTCGCGTTCCTCAGAACCACTGCTTCAAGGTCCATAGTTGAAGGATTGTTTTTGAACTTCACCTTTTCCTTATTTTCTGGTTAATTTTGAATGTTTTGGTTGCTCAGGGTGTACGGTTTGACAGTAAAGTCATGGGTGCAATGGAGTTATCCGATCTTGAAGACGGGGATTTGGTGGTGGAGATGTGCATTACGCATACACTACCACCGGCTCTGACGCTTAATCAGGGACTGGAGAGCATAAGTGAGGCCATTGAAAAGTTGAAGTTGGAACCTCCACGTTCTTCTGATGGAGTCTTCAGGTTTCAGGTGTGGCTTAGTATTGCGTTTTGATCCTTTTCCCCTGATCTTTGTATTTGGAGTAAAAAGACTTTGAAATGCAGCCAAATTAAAGGGTTATTAACAGTTTCTTTGTGTGGAACGGTAACACTGATGATGAATTTGCAGGTGGCTGTTCCTCCGAGTTCGAAAGCTCTTTTGTGGTTTTGTTGTCAGCCGGAGTCATCTGAAGTGTTTCCTGTCTTTTTCCTTTCCAAGGAGAAGGTTAATGCGACAATTAAGTCTCTATACTTGAACGATACCCGTGGAGTTTTTGGAATTGGCACTGCAATTCCCTTTGCAAGCTCGTCTTCTACTTCATCAAAACAAAGTTCATTGAAAAGGTTTGTTTCAGCCTTTAGCTTCAGTTGCTGGCTTTGATTCTGGAATCAGCATTACTTTAAAAGGAAATTCCATCAAAACATATATTTAATGAATATATTTTTCTGTGCTGATTTGAGCATAGTTCTATTTGCCAGTATATTAGAAACTTCTCTATTAAGGTTGAAAGTTCAAATTCCCACCTATAATTGAATTGTAATTCTAAATGGAATTAATGTATTTTGCTACCATTTGTTCATGCCATCGTATTTTTGCTGCTTTGGTTGTAAATAAGTTTTTGGAAGTGTTACCATTTACAGCATGACTTTATTAACTAATTGTAATTTTGCAAAAATACCTGTTGCTATGGTTCTTTTGGGTGTGCAAAATGCTGTTGAATCTGATCCACTATTCAATGCCACTGAAAGCTCGATCTACTCAAGTGTGTTTTATTACTTTTTACGAAGGTATCTCACGAATGATTCAGCTCCTATTATGGCTTATGGTTTTGTAAATGAGAATACTGGGGAGACATCTTCGCCAAAGCACGAGGCTGGTCATTCATACTTTTGCGTTCCCCAAGTAAATTTCTGTCTGGATTCATATGATGCTAGAGTTATGCCATTGATCTGTTCATCCTGTTACATTAGTTAATTCTCTGGTGGAATATGTGTTTAAATATTCTTAAATAATTATGGTCTTGACAGATTGAGTTGAATGAGTACGAGGGAGTTTCTATTCTCTCTGCAACACTTGCATGGAGCGAATCTTTCCCGTGCACATTGGAGGAAGCTCTTCATTCTTTGAGCTTATCTATCTACCAGGTATATCTTCATGCCACATTTCCCTGAATTCTAGTCAAATTTTATTAGATCGTTTACATGATTTTAATAACTATTATCTAATCTGTGTTTGACATAGGACATTAAAATATTAAATCTAATTGACAACATAAGAGAGACTTAGCTTTTAGGGGATCCTTTGACCTGCTTATAGTCATGTTGATGTGCTAGCTGGATGATACTAAATGATTGTTTTGTGACTTGTGTCCAGATCAGTACAAATTTTCCGTCCAGAGAAAAGTGCCAGTCCAAATTCATAAGATCTTCTTTAACAGCTTTGAAACTGGTGGATAGAACACATCAGATGGTATAAATTTTAATCGTTTCCTGATACTAATTTGGGATAACATTTTGTTTGAAGTGGTGGTTTTATGAGAATTTTAATAGATCAGCTTTGCAGTTGCAGCCACTCTATATTCGTACTATAATTTCTCCTCATCTCCTTCATCACTCTGTCTATGCATTGGTTGACATTTTTGTTTTAGTAACTTGAAATATAGCTTGTTGCACTCATTAAAATGTATGTTTCCAGTAGTTCTTATAATTGAAGTGACTACCTGGCCAGTGTGTGTACTGTATGTATTGTTGTGGATCTTTTAGAACAATCCTTAAGAGTGCAATATAGATTACAGATTTTAGAATCAGTAATTGTTACAGCCCCCATCTTTAGACTGTAGTTCCTACCCTCCCACGTGAAGGAGAAAATGGTTAGCAATGAGAATACGGTATATATTTATCAAACATTAACTTGTTAGCCAACTGAGGATTTATATGACATGTTTGGCTATCCTAACAAGGTTGAGATTTTGGCTGACTTATTAGGTGGGCATCGAGATTATCTAATTATCTAGTAGTATATTCTGGTTAAATGGGGGTAAGGCTAATGAAAAGAAGAGGCCATTCTAGAATTGTGCAGTTTTTGTTGGCAAATAAATTGTATTTTGTTTTTCTTGCGAGGCTTCCCTGTCAGTTTGTATCTTACTAATTATCTTTTTAGTTATTATAATTTTCTCTGTAAAATATGATATATATGTTGCATCTTCCATTTTCTATCACACCTTATTATAATTGACTAGAAAGAACTATACCAGACTCTTTGAAGATAGATATTGGCAATGCAAGACTTGCATCATGTTCTTGCCCTTGTGCTTGTTTGCGCTCTATCTTCTATGGTTGTCAGGGAGATATATACCTTGGGTAGGGTGATGGAAATGATTGTAAGTTTATGGTATACTCTGAAAAATCATTTCCATTTCAACGTGTGAGTTTCAACTACCTGGATATCTGGTTTTGCATGTGGATTTCATAGTTATATGGATAACAACGATCATTTTCTCCACTATTGTTATGTTTCTGTTGATGTTACAACTATTCTGACATTTCCAGTTTTGATTGAACTTAATGATAGTTTTTAAAGTTATTTTAAATCACTTAGATTTAAAGAATATATCTCCCAGAAAGCATAGAAATCATTTGGAGATGTATGTTTTGGTTCTCGCCATTCTCATTTAAGCGTGCAAATATTGTAGGCATACATGGAAGTACTTTCAATGGCTGGTGAAAGTTTCAATACTGGGATCATGGAAATGGTATCTCCTCTTTCTGGTAATCTTTCATCCTTCAATTATTGAATTCTCGATTTACTTTGGCAGAGTTTCTGCTATAATTTTCAACTTATATTTTTGTTTAGCTATGGAACGTACTCTCAGTTTTATGGCTTGCTGTCTGCTGGTCACTTAGATTACAGAAGCAAAAGCATATTAGCAACTGATGGTTTGTGCATAGCTGAGAAATATATTGAAGTTTCATATATTTCAAATTTCAAAATGGATCTAATAGCCCTTTGATATCCTCCTTCACAAATCAATAATATGCACAAGTTCATTACATATTTCCTTGTTCATGGAACTCTGCAGTTGAGAATGAAGTAATAATATAATCAGACCGCACTTTATTGACAATTTCTACCATAGCCTTCTGGAAAAGAGTACAAAGGTGAACATGCTCCAGTGAAAAAAGAAGACATTGTTCATGCTAGTTCAACATGTCAGATGTGTTTATGGTTTGACTCTTTAATAACCTTCACAATTATTGCAGAAGGGGTCTTCACTCTCCCATCAATTCTGCATTAGGCTTTCGTCGAGTGTTGCTGTTGCATGTAATATGGTGAGGTTCCAAACTTCTGAAAATGCAGACCAGTGTAAAATCATGATTAAATATGTATATCTGTCCTTGCGTTGCCCACATTGTGGTTTTCTGTTAAATGATATATCTTTTCCTTCTCTTTCCATTTTGTTTGATTCTTTTACAACTATATACTAATGTACCTGCTACTTGCTTTTCAAGTTTAGTTAATTAGCTTCATTGAAATGTTATCATGGAGATCAATTATCTATCCTTTGGAGTATTTTCTTTCCTTTTCTGAATTGGGTTGTATTTGGCTGTGGTTTTCAATAAAATGCGTTCGTTTCATATATTATCTGAGCCACTGATGTTGGTGCACCTTGCTGGGTGAGGCTCGCAAACCAACCAGCTGTTAAAGAATCAAGATGACACATATCCAGTTGATTTATTGATATAAAGTTGTTTCTTATCCCTCTGACATGACACTTCTACCATCAGTGGGATCATATCAGTGAAACTCGTCACTCAGAGCAAGAGCATGCCAACATCAATGCTCTCTGGGCGTCACTCATAGTTGAAGAATGTTCCCGTCTTGGTTTGACGGTATGTTTACTGTTGATAAATATTTTCCATTAACATAGATGCAGACAGATCTGACCTGTTATTCACTCTAGTATTTTTGCATAGCTCCTGGATCAAGATCATCCCCACTTGCCGTTGCTGCTGCAAGTCATCCGCTGATAACATGTATGGCATGCTTTGATGAACGCTCTCTTTCTTTTCATGCAATTGGGTACGCTAAAGGATCTCATAGGCCAGCAGTTGTAATCACATCATCAGGCACTGCTGTTTCAAATCTTCTTCCTGCTGTGAGTCATATTGAGCATATCATGAAATAATATTCAACTACTTGCTGAAATTTAATTTGAACATTTTTTAACCAATGTATTGGAGTTGCCTAAATCTTTTCAATGCATAAGCCTTTCACTCACGGTGAGGACAGGAATTTTATTTCTTCTGAGCTTGACTTATTCTCAAGCCCAGGTTTGAATTGCCCAAGGATCTCCACGTTCGTCTATACTTGAGAAACAAAGTTGGCTCATCTCTTCAACCTCTATTATTTATTTATTTATTGTATTTTGGGACAAGACATTGCTTCTCTCTCTAATCAGTTTGAAGACAAGTAAATAGAGGAATAAAAGAATAACATTGAACAACATTTGGTCTCCTAAACTAAAAGTAAGTTACAAATATATTTCGTCCATTAAAAGAAAACAGCGCTCTTGTACCTAGGCTAAAAAACGACTTACAGACATGGTAACAAGTAGGAAGTTAGTTTTATAATTGCTCAGTAGCTAACAAACTTAGTGGTTAACAAAAACTAGCTTCCTGATTATCAGGAATGAAACTAAACTGTAGCTATTGCGGTGATAAGACTCTTTACAAGCAGTTAGCTGTCTGAGCGGCCTAAATGAGGGGAAATGCCTAATTTTTATCTTAACTTATGATTGATAATTTTGTAGGTGGTTGAAGCCAGTCAAAATTTTCTACCTCTTTTATTGCTAACAGCTGACCGCCCCCCAGAGCTACAGGATGCAGGAGCAAATCAATCTATTAATCAGGTATGGAAGAGAGAGATTTATTAACTTTCCTATTGTGATTTCTACCTTTTATTGTTAAATCCTCGTACTAATATAAGTTTTTTTGTTTAAAACAATTGAACATGATTTTGTATTATGCTATAGATCAATGAGTATAAACGTATGATATACATTGTGTTCATATGCTATTGCAGTTAAAAAAATGTCTACTATCACAATCAAGTACGTGGTAGTCACAAAAGATTTATATCTGCAACAACCAAGTATATGATAAGGCTGCATATCATTTTCCTAGAGTTCATTAACATTCATTGGGCCCCTAAACTGTACTAATCAAGTGTTTGGTTAGTGATCCTAGAGTTAAGAAGCAACTATTGTTCTTTATTATTTTTATAACTTGAGGCCTGAGCTTGTTCAACACCTTTCAAGATACTGAAAAGACCGTCTTTTCTGTGTTGAGTGCTCGGCTCATGTTTTTCTTGTCTGGTGGATCCCAGCCCTCCATTATGATTTTAACTTACAATTTTTGTTAGTTTATTTTATTGAAAGTATTTGAATTTGTTAATAGGTAAACCATTTTGGTTCATTTGTGAGGTTCTTCTTTGGTCTTCCTGTCCCAACTGATCAAATTCCCGCCAGAATGGTACTTACCACTCTTGATTCTGCTGTACATCGAGCAACCTCTTCACCCTGTGGCCCCGTTCACATAAATTGTCCATTTAGAGAGCCACTGGAAAGTAGTCCAAGTCGGTGGAATTTAGCTTGCTTAAATGGATTACACGTTTGGATGTCAAGCGCTGAAGCTTTTACCAAGTATATTCAACTACGAGCTTCTCAAACGTCTGCTGATACTTTTGGCCAAATGGCAGAGGTTTTGAAAGTAATCAATGGAGCCAGAAATGGCATTTTACTTCTTGGGTCAATTCACTCAGAAGATGAGATATGGGCTGCGTTTCTATTGGCCAAACATATTTCATGGCCTATAGTTGCTGATGTATTGTCAGGTCTACGCTTGAGAAAGAGTTCATCTTCCTTTCTAGAAATAGAAAAGAACTTTTTCTTTGTCGATCACCTTGATCATGCATTGCTTTCTGATTCTGTAAGAAAATGGCTAAAATTTGACGTGATTATTCAGGTAATACTTACCCACTCATTTTTTCTTCTTCTACTTTTTTCTCACTTTCCTTAAAGCCCAAACACAATTCTTTCCGTAGTACAAGTCATCTTCCAGTATAAAAAATAGTGCCCTTAATCATCAAGATTAGTAAAGCACGCTGCAGGGTTTTAATGTGGTTTTCGATGAATGCTGAGTGAAAAATAGAGGATAATAGGAAAATATCATAACAGTATGCTTGGGCTTGGGTGTGTAACAGATGTACTCAATGAGTACAGGAAATTTGAATTGTATTGTTCAAGTGGTATTGACATAATGGCGTATAGTCAGTACATCTTTTAAGGTCAAAATAATGAAGGTAAGAAAGGTACATTTTTGTTGATCATTATCCACACTTCTGTAGGGTAGCTTATAATTAATGAGAAGATGCAACGTGAAACTCATGTAATACAGAATGGTTAAATAGTAGTGGAATATGTCATCTTGTGTAGATTTCCATGAAAAGTAGAGGTAAACGTGAATTAGAGCAAACTATTATAGTTGTAATTTGGTAGTTTGTAGGGTTCTGAAATGAAGGAAGCTTCTAAGTGGCACCTGTTACTTCCATTTTACCACTAGGTCATATTAAATGAACAAAAACTTCCAAGAATCACCTTAATTTATTTTCCTTCTTTAATTAGCTCTATGTTTGCAATAATTAACAGATCGGAAGCAGGGTAACAAGCAAGCGTGTTTCGAAGATGCTTGAGGACTGCTTTCCTTGTTCATACATCATGGTTGATGAGCATCCAGGTCGTCATGATCCATCACATATTGTGACCCATAGAATTCAAAGCACCGTCTTAGAATTTGTGGGTTGTTTACTTAAAACTGGATTTCCTCGCCATAGGAGCAAGTGCTCTGCTACACTACAAGCATTGAATATGATGGTAATTGATCTGATCTCCAGTGGTAGTTCTTATTTTGTTTTTGTTCCTCAGTTGTAACAAGTCTTGTAGGAACTATTACGACCGAGAATAAAATTTTATAAAATAGAGCACTAGTCTACTGCAATTAGACTGAAATCCAAAATCTGTATTTTGTTTTCTTTCTTTTTGGGAAAAGAAGGATCAATATTTAAGAAGTTCATTCTTCTCAAGATGGATGAATTTCAGTTTGTTTGTTTATATGATGGTGAAGAGAATGGTTAAATTAATCTTTTGCGGACATGTAATGACATTGTATTTTGGTGTCTATAATTAGATGTGAATTTATATCTCGCCAAAAAAAGTGGTGATAGTTGAGTATTCCATGGTTGCACTTTCCAATTTGTTCTCATTTTCAGAATGGCTTCATCTATTTTACAGGTTGAGTGGGAGATACAATTTCAAATTTCTTCTAACTACTCCCTATCTGAGCCACAAGTTGCTCAGGTAATCTCAGAGGCACTTCCATTTGATTCTGTTCTATTCTTGGGGAACAGCATGCCAATCCGTGATGTAGACATGTATGCACATGGTTGGTCGAAATGCAACAACAGCGTAGCAGCTAAACCATTAAACTTACAACTTCCATTTTACTGGACATGGACTTCTGGAAATAGGGGAGCCAGTGGTATTGATGGACTTCTTAGCACAGCTGTTGGTTTCTCTGTTGGCAGCAACAAACGAGTATGTAGCTAGAATTTGTATGTACAGATTTATCTGCAAAAAGATCACTTACAGGGCTTATTGGTTATATAAAGAACTATGCCGATTAATCACACATTGAATGGTTTCTGTATATCATGGTTCATTTTTAGAATATCTGACCTAGCAATGTTTCCAGAAAACTGGATAATAAGGTAACTGCCGTGTACAAAATCAACATAGACATCACCTTATTATACCTGAAGCCTTTTGTTGTGTAAATATCAAAACAATTCTTGCGAAATACCTCCATTTTTTGTATCTTTTTGCTTGTGTTGTTATTCCATGAATCTTGTATACTGGGTATTTTTTAGATAAGAATATATATATGCCTATTTCTTCATCCTTCTTTCTTCCTCAATCTCTTCATATTTCGATGATATTCAGGTGCTTTGTGTAGTTGGAGATGTTTCTTTCCTTTATGATACGAATGGCTTGGCAATTTTGAGCCAGAGGTACAAAAATGAAAGGAAGAAAAACCTCTAGTCTTGTGTTACAGCAACTGTACAATTTTTCTTTACTATTTTCCCTTTTGCATTTTCTTTTATTTTTCAGAAATTAACATGCTAATATTTTAGTAACTTACTCTCTGAAGGATGACGAGGAAACCCGTGACTATTGTTGTCATCAATAATAATGGTGGAGGAATCTTCAGTCTCCTTCCCATTAAGGACAAAGTAGAGCCAGCAATACTAGACCAGTACTTCCACACCTCTCACAAAATTTCACTCCGTAGCCTATGTGTGGCACATGGGTAATAATTATGTATTTACCTTAATATATTGTAGAGTTTTCATTTAACATGCCTCTGTCTCTTGTTCACACACAACCGTGATTTTATCAATTGTTGTAATGAAAATCAATTGTTCTATGCTGTTCTAAACAATGTTTACGTAAATTCTGTGGATACAGTTGCAAAATATGATCCTGCAGGATTTCAACAATTAGCATTCAAACAGCTTCAGTTTCAAGATGTTAAGGAAAAAGTTTTATGTTCGTTCAACATGGTTACTTTTAAGCTTTTGTGTCTTATCAATGTGTCTTGATTGTTTGAAAAGCATAAAATTAAAATGGGTTTTTATCTTGTGTTGTTGTATCTGATTGGAGCCAATTTTTAGACTTAAATCAAAAACTATATTTTTTGGTTAGACATCTGTTAATGTATTGAACTGGTGGGTCATGAATCTAATTTCTACTTGATGTTGAATTTACAATTGTGGATATTTCTTGGGAACTTTAATTCAATAGTCGATGTGGGATCTACGGTGACAAGCGTCTTAAATGATTTACAATAATTTTCCAAGCCTCTTAACTTTATTTCATAGTTACAACCTGCCATATTCTGTGTCAATCTTGCTTCATTTTAACTTGGAAGTTGCTAGATGTACAGTCTGAAGCACCTACATGTTCGGACAAAGAGGGAACTTCAAGATGCTTTACTTATGTCTCAACGTGAAGAAAATGATTTCATAATCGAGGTTGAAAGTTCCATTGATGCCAATACTAGCTTCCACAGGTTTCTTAAAAATAATTATTCAAGTTAAATTCCTTTAGGTTGATAGATTCTTCCCATTTATTGAAAAGTAAAACATTTTTCAAGGTTACATTTTGTTTTTTGCTGTTGACTCTTTATGGTCCTTGTGCCAGTCTCATGAGGAAGTTCTCTTGTCAAGCAGCAGATCATGGGTTAAGCATCCTTTCAAGGCTTTATTCTGAAGAATCTGTTTCACCTGGACTCTTCCTTTGCAAGATAAGTAGAATGGATTACACATTGTTCAGGTGTTTACCTATTTCTCTTATTAAGTTATAGATGCCCTGAGTGGCTAAGATAATGCTAATCAGAGAATTTTGGTGACTAAATCTCTGTTCCCTTTTTCCTTTGGGTGACAGAATCCCGCTATGTGCTCCACCTACTACTACATCTAGTTCTATAGACCAAGTCGGTCAGAAGCTCTACAGAGAAGGTTTTATTTTGTCTTTGTTTCTTGAGGATGGGAGCCTTGGGCTTGGTGAGGTTAGTTCTGCTTCTGATCTGCTTATCGAGAAATTTGAATCCCTTCTTTATTATGCACTGGTGTGCCTGATATGATCCTGCCAATCTCAGGCTTCCTATAAATCCTTTTGTACTTTTCCTATTTTCCCCAGTAGGTTGGGTATGAAATTACTTAATTAGCTATTCAACAGGTTTCGCCCCTTGATATCCACAAAGAGAACCTACTAGACGTTGAGGAGCAACTTAAGTGTCTTATTTATGTATTAAAGGGAGCCAAGATCAGCAGCTTCCTTCCTTTGCTACGGGGCTCGTTTTCATCTTGGATTTGCCATGAACTGGGAATACCAGTAGGTGCTCCTATATTCCGGCTTATGCATTTGTTCTGGACTATTGTTATCCATATGTATTTGTTTTTTAGTTGACTGTTCGTCATTATACAGCCAAGCTCAATCTATCCGAGTGTTAGATGTGGTTTGGAAATGGCTGTCCTCAATGCCATAGCAGCAAGACGAGGTTGCAGCTTGTTAGACGTACTCCAGCATCGATTAGATGAAGAAAACAACTTGGCATCTTCGTCAAAAGTTCAAATTTGTGGGCTGTTGGATTCTGGTGGGAGTCCTTCTGAGGTTGCTCGTGCTGCTAAGACACTTGTTGAAGAAGGTTTTACTGCTATCAAGTTAAAGGCAAGCTACATTACCATTTTCTGAAGATTCTCTCTTATTTTCTTTTTCCAGGAGTATTCTCATTATCATGTATCTCAAGATTGGTTGGTTTACAGAAACTACATTGACTTATTAATAATCTAATACTTGAACAATTTCAGGTAGCCCGACAAGGGAATGTCATGTATGATGCTGCAGTTGTACAGGAAGTAAGGAAGAAGCTTGGTAATGAGATTGAACTCCGCGTTGATGCCAATCGGAACTGGAGCTGTGAAGAAGCCATTCTATTTAGCTCTTTGGTGAAGGACTGTGGCCTGCAGTATATCGAGGTACACTCAATGAAGATTTGATTGTATCTCACTAATATATCTTGAGTGATTTCTGACATTTGGACTTTACATGCTATACTTTCTTTCTAGTCTATACATTTCTTGTTATTCTGGTCATCTTTTTGTTGATACAGTCATGTTCCTCTTGAATTTCTCAACTCAGGAACCAGTTATGGATGAAGACGCTATTATAAAATTCAGTGAAGAGAGTGGTTTGCCTGTTGCACTGGATGAAACTATTGATCGTATTCAAAATGATCCTGTGAAAGAACTTGCAAGATATGCTCATCCAGGAATTGTTGCTATAGTAAGTTACGTGTAAAACCCTCGTTATTATAAATAAGATGTGCAATAGTGGAATCCGCTATTCGAATTTAGAGTGGAGTAGATATCCAGGACTGAACTCGGTGGTTTAATATATACAGATACAATCAGCTTTCTAATGAATATTCCCTACTGGCTCTAGGGCTTCATTTGTTGTGTAATTTTGGATAGATTCCCCCCTGTATCATATGTATGAATGGCCTGACTTCATGCCCAGCATAGAAGAAAGGAAAAAGATGTACTGAAGACAGTTCATTTTAGTAAAGAGCCATAATAAGGACACAATTTAGAAATAGCTGGAGAATATTTTTTACGTTAAAATATATCAATAAACTGTGTTGTTTTTTGAAGATTTTCTGCTGGGAGATTTCACATCATTTTACTATAATTTATGTACCAATCATGATTTTTGATCTGTTACATTGTTCCTTCTAGGTTATAAAACCCAGTGTTATTGGCGGATTTGAAAATGCAGCACTAGTAGCAAGGTGGGCACAGCAACTCGGAAAAATGGCTGTTGTTAGTGCTGCATTTGAAAGTGGTGTAGGTTTGTCTGGATATATACAGTTATCCTGCTATCTGGAGCTTCAAAATGCAGAAATAAGAAAACTGATGAATAATCAACCAGCCCCATCTATAGCCCACGGTCTAGGAACTTACCGTTGGCTTGAAGAAGATGTGACTGTCAATCCTCTCAGAATTTGTCGTGACCCTCATAGTGGCATTATGGAAGCATCTGTTGCTGAGGCTAATCAACTTTTGAAGAGTTTTCAAATCAACCAGAAATTTGTTAGTAGAAAATTTACCGAGGAGCAAGTTCGTAGGTACCAATTAACTGTTGACTCAAAGGGGTTCTCTCATTTAATAAAAGTTTTGGAGGTTGGACAAAAAACAAACGTAAGTAAGAAATTCAAATCAAATATTACCTGCTTTTCCTATCTGTTCTGTTTCACAGTTTAATTTTTAGAACCTATGCATCTTCATGCTTTTGTAGGATCCATTTATTTGTTAGAATGACACCAGTTAGAGCTTCTGCAGGATAATGTTCTCTTATTTCTTCATGGATTTCTTGGAACTGGTGAAGACTGGATCACAACCATGAAAGCCATCTCAGGCTCAGCCAGATGCATTTCTCTCGACCTTCCTGGTCATGGGGGATCAACAACAGAAAATAATGATTCTGATGCTCATGTTGTGAAGGAACCAAGTTTTTCGATGGAGGTTGTTGCTGATATACTGTATAAATTGATTCATCATCTTGCTCCTGGTAAAGTTAACCTTGTAGGGTACTCAATGGGGGCTAGGATTGCCATGTACATGGCCCTGAGATTTGGTGATAAGGTTGTTTATGAAATTCTGCTAACTTTTTAAAGTTTTCATTTATGTTCGAATTATTAAGAAAGATGAATGTCTGTTCTGAAGATTGGAAGAACCGTTATAATATCTGGAAGCCCGGGATTGGAAGACGAGGTGGCAAGAAGAATCCGTAGGGCTAAAGATGATTCTAGAGCACGTATCCTTAAGGACTATGGTTTACAAAGCTTTCTTGAGGAGTGGTATGCAGGGGAATTATGGAAAAGGTGGCCTTATTGGTTTTATTTCATCACCACCTTGAATACTATTGTTGTGCCCATTCTTATAATCTTGTACTTTCCTTCTTAGCAGCTTAAGAGAACATCCACATTACACTCAAATTCTTGCCAGTCGATTGAAGCATGATGATGTTCAGAGTCTTGCAAAAGTTCTATCCGATTTGAGCATTGGAAGGCAGCCGTAAGTTCATAAGAAGATGAACCTTCTTATATTTTCAGTTTCGAATCGCAATTGGCAACAATGTTGGTGAAAATGCACCGAGGCACCATTAATTTCCCATAAATTTGCATGCATATTCAAACTAGGGATTGGTCTATACAGGAAGTAAAACACTTGGTATTGTAAGTAGATTATAGATACCAATACAATCTTGAACCTGTGACTCTCTTTTCCCCTCTCTGTGAAAGGAATTTTTGATTGGTTTTCATTGATTTAGAGAAGTTAAATACAAGTTCTAGACCTCCATCTTGGGATTTACGAGAAATTACCCTAAGTAGAGTTAATTACAGAGTGAATGTAGTTACAAAAATAACTAGAGATAGAACACCATTAAGAGGAACGATACATAGCTTTGTCGTACACATCCCTCAGATCTCTTTACTTTTCATTGAATATCTGGGAGTCTTTTCCAAAGTCTGAATTCTTGTTCCATGTTCATCCAAAGGATTTAAGCTTTTACTCTCAGAAACTATAGCCAAGTAAATTGAGTTGAATTTTTTTTGAACTAGTCCTTGACAAGATAATAAGTAGGTTAAGCTGTCCTACTACTAGGAGCTTGAGGTAAGTGAGTGGTGTTCTGGTCACAGATTCTTGGCTAGAAAGCTCACCACATTGAATACTTGTTTAAGTTGACTAATCATATAAAGCGTTCTTTGCCTCTGCTATATGATAGGCAATTGTGGGATGAATTGGAAGGCTGCAAAACACCTCTTTCAATCATTGTCGGGGAGAACGATACAAAATTCAAGAAAATTGCACAGAAAATTCTTTCTAAAATGGATGTGAGCAGGAAGATAAGGGATGGAGCAGTTGTTGAGCTCCATGAAATAGTTGAGATCCCGGACTCTGGACATGCTGCCCACCTGGAGAATCCTCTTGCTGTTATCAATGCATTGAGTAGATTTTTAATAAGGAGAACACAATTCTCTTCTAATTCGGATTCTGCAGGTACCATTTTTATAACCTTTGACATCCCTGCATATTGAGGTCGATGAAGATAAAAATAGTAACCTAAAACATATATATATTAATGGTTTGGTATTTCTATTTTGTCCTGTTTGTTTGCTAGGCCAAGACGCTATTTCGCATGACAGCCAGCCTGTATGAAGCATCAAATATGATAGAAAGGGATTATGGTTCTACGAATAAGATGGTTGATCAAGTCTTGGACACATCATATGCCAACATCTTTTATAGCCCTATTAGTGTTTTATGTTCACAGACATTGATATCTGTCTGTTCTTGAAGTCTAGTAATAGACAAATTTCTTTTGATTGCCTATAATTCTTTGTGGTTATTTTACCAAGGGAATGGTCTCTTTGAACTGATTTGAGCGTAAATGGATTTGATGTACATCTAAGATATGAACACATCATTCTGATGTTAGTTCACTTATTTCTTGTTCAGCATCTTCAGTTTTGAGAACAAATGCAGTAGTTCCTAAAAGAACTAAAAAACTAAGGATAGAGACACCAGAGAGACATACACGAGAAAAAAGAGAAGAAATAAATTTTCAAATTGATTGATCAAAGATAAGGAATAGAGGCACTATTTATAGGTTACAAGAAAAAACAAAATTTAGGAATAACCTCCTAACTTTTCTAACAAAAAAGAAGATTTATTTGCTAAATTTAAACACAAAATCTAAAAAACTTTAAAACAACTTCTAACTAAGTTCACATAATCTTAACTTCTAACTAATTCAACACTCCCCCTCAAGCTGGACTATACAGATTGAACAGTTTCAGCTTGATCAACAACCTTTCAAACAC